CATTTGGTGTGAAGCTACAGGATACAGGGAAATGTGACGACAGGCATGGAGAGGTGTGTGTCTGTCCTAAAACTGCTGAAATTGTGTGAGAGAAAGGCCAGGTACAGATGAATACCATTTTATCTCACGAGTAGTGTGTGTGTGTGTGTGTGTGTGTGTGTGTGCCACCCTCCCTGAGCTACAGCTCTCCTCAGGCTCTCTGCCTGTGAGGGGAGATGAGCCACTCTCCCAGCACTTGAGGGCTGAGCAGGCAGGGGAAGAACCCCACATGGTTTTTGAAAGTAGTGGACATGGAGTGAATGGCATCCAGCACCCAAAGGCTGCTGTTTGCAGCTTGTTCTTTTTCTCGTCCAAGCCGGCAAGCTGCTGCTGGTATTTGCTGCTACTTTCATTAGCTGCCACCTCCATAGAAGTGCTCCTATCAGAACACAAAGTCCAAAAACAAGAAAAAATATGCAGCTGTGGTTATTCTTATTGGAGATAGACACCACTGCTGCAAGGAAAGAACTGATGATGGGTAGGGGCATGGAAGGGTAGCAGCAAAAATGGAAATCTGATCCACCCACAGGGGAAAGTGATGCATCTGCTGTCCCAGATGAAGTAATTTAGAGTCATTTCCCCCCAAATTTACTGGATTATCCCTTGATTAGGAAAATTTATAGGGGAAAACCAGAAGGGTACCATATGTTTGTGGGGAATATCATGTGGATGATGCAAGTTAAATGGGAATGCAAACAACTGCAACTACATGTTAAACTCTGGCATGGATAAGCCCTTATAATATGTGCATATCATATACACACCATAGGGCAATGAGACCATCAGAATTTGGCAGGATGAATTGTTTTGTTGTTGAAGCACACTGCATTGTGGGATTTGTAGTGTTCATATTGTGGAGCTAATCAATTGCTGTGCATCTATTTTGTGTATGTGCACATTTTAGAGATGCATGAGATTTATAGGCTCTCTTGAATTTGGAGCAAGGGAGCTACCGATCTATCTGTTTGTGGACACACAGTATCAGTGCTAGGATGTAGACAGCTGAAGAAGAGCTAGATAGAGTGATAGCAGGTTGCTCCAGCAACAGGTGGTGAGAAGGTTGACACAGTCTTGCTGACTATCATGCTCACACTTGCTAAAGGTGACAAAAAAGTAATCTTCTTCTTCTTCTTCTTTGGCGATCACTCATAGCTGAGTAAGATTGTCTTCCATAAACACGGTTTTAACAATGTGTCCGTAAGTGACTGTGGAGGCCAATTCTGGATCCACACGTCCTTCCACAGTGGGGACATCAGTTTCTGGGTGGGAGCTGATCACAGTGTGTATTTGCCATGCGTGCCTTCCTCCTAGCACGTTTCTCCCTTGAGTAAAAAACTAATAGACGTGCAAGTGCAAGATCAGTGATATAGTGTTTTCCTGGTTTTAGGGGCAGGCAAATATTTTGCATCAGAGCCATGTCTAACTTGAACACTGCTGTTCCTTACAATTCTGAGTTTAAAAGCCACACAGTTTAAGATCCTACCAGTCTCCTCAGGGCAGAATCAAAGAAATGTGCTATTGATCTTGTATAGCACCACCTGCTGTGCATTTAAGGGTTGTAGTGGATAATAGGCTTTCAACCCATATGCCTTCAACTTAAGTCACCATAGTTCCATTAAATATCACATCACCCTGGCTCCCTCTGCCTGCTGTCTCCCCCCTTCCTAAAACATGCTTATTGTGGAAAAGGGTTTGTCATTACAATAACATGTTACCCACTAATGCATTAACCCCACAAACATTTACATTTTAAGCAATATAAAATGTTTAACTTACGGAACCCGAGGATGCAATGCTGCTGTTTCTCTAGTTCCGATAAAGAAAAACATATCAGTTTTAGTCACTTAATTCAACTAACATGAATGACAAGTTGTTGACATTGAAGCACAGTATCAATAAATAATTTGCTGCAGAATCTGGAGGAAGTTAATACAGTATATGTTTCCTAAATACAATCAAACAATTTCAGCAGATACCAGCTACAAAGTATCTTGGCAAATATGCAATTTGTCACACTATAGACCAATAAATAGAGCCCATGATGGGGTGGAGCTATAGAGACGAGGAAGGGTTCCTAAGCAGAATCCTGTTGTAGTGAGGTCAAAGTCTGCTATCAACACCCAGCGCTGCTCCTCGATCTCCACTTCAGGGGATCCCACAGTAAGGGGAGGTGGGGTGCGATACGTGTTTGAATGCAGAGTGCTAAGACATTTGGTGCGCCTCTTTTGTTAATTACAGGGGTCCCTGGGGAAGCATATTTTACATTGGTAGGTAAGGGCGTGAGCATCTTGTCTAATTGTACTGGACAGTGGCCTTTACATTATTAAATGTGGAATTATGGCCTAAGTACATTCCCACCCATCACAATGACACAAGATACTTGCTTCCCTGCCTTAGCTCTTAGAGGATCCTGATTTGTTTCACTCTGGATTATTATTTCTGTTGCCAATTGAAGTAACTGAAGGGAAAATATAACATTTCCTTCCTAAATAATTTGCACAAACTACATGGGACTTGGTCCAGGTGAAAACACTCCATCAGTCCCACTAGTGAGACTTTGAGAAGAGCTCACATGTAGATCACAGTGCCTTAATCAATGCCACTTGTCTAGTCTACCTTATTTCCGTCTTAGAGAGCAAGCAGAATGAATAGGAGGTTGTGGGGGATTTTGTCCTTTGCATCTCTTAAGATGGCAAGCCAGTCTGCTGCCCTTATTAGGATTTGTGTTGAAATGTCACAGCCGAGCTCCTTAATCTCTGGAAGAGGAAAAGCCTCCAAAAGTAGAGGCACTCCAATGTGTGCTTAACTGTAGGGGCAGTTTAATCCTAAAACCGATAACTGGTTGGCTGCTGAATGGATAAAGAATTCAGTCCTCGATGTGCTCCCTGACCTCCCCCTGAACGTAACCACTGGGTGGTGATAGTGAGACATTACTTGGCTCCTGAGAGACCTCATGGGGGAAGGGAACTGTTCAAAATTAAATTAGAGAGGTTTCAGCACAGCACCTGCTGCTATGTGCATTTTCATATAGTTCACTGTGCATGAGCAAAGATTTGTTTGTGCTGCTTTTCAGCCTGTGACAGAGAGCACGTAAGTTGGACAGAAATTCTGCTCAGTAGAATCTACTGACACAATTGCAAACAGTGCTGCAAACTATTATCCATGTTGTAAGGCAAGACGTTAAATTAAAAGGAAACCTCTACTGAATGGTAAGGCTTCCAGCACCTCCATTATGACCTTCATCCTAAGATCTCATCGGGGATGTATTTCTATGGAAATTACAATAAATATTTCAAAATTCACATCTATAGAACGGTATATAAATTAGCATATGCACATTTTGTGACAATCTGTGTCCTTTCTTGGTAGTGGTCAGACTATCAGTTTGTAAAATGTATGGAATGGTGGGGTGGTATTCCTCTGTTCTGTATATAATTTATTCCACAGCAGTAGATGGCACTGTGAACTGAGCCAATGGCACAAAGGCATTTCCAAGCCTGCGTCTGAAAAGCAGACAGTCTTTTTTTCCCTTTTTCAGTGGTTGGCAACTCAGGCTAAATAAGGCCACAGTTCTAAAATGAGCCAACAACAATTTTATCTTAGGAGCATGTAGGAAGGAAGGATCACTTGGAAGAAGAAGAAAAAAGATATCATAATGTTATTTTAAATTGCACATAAGAGATAATGCTGAAAATGGCTTCAGGCTGATCCATAGCACGAAACCTATTTGCATAGTTGGCTAAATCAAACATCCTAATTTAGGAGCGAGATGTGAAAAATACTGGCATTTCCTGAAAAGGCACTTACCGTTTCTGAAAACTCTCCTCCTATACTCTCTGCTGAGATAAAAATTATCTTCCATTTTTTAAGTGTTCCGTCTGCCAGAAAAATGGTAATATACTTTATATTTAGATGAACAGGTGAAAGATGTGCAGCCAGGTAATCTGATGCGACACCTGCCCTCCAGTAGAGGGACCTTGCTTGCTACCCTCTGGTGTTTTTCTTACAGGTTTACAGTACTTAGTTCGGAAACACCTGGTTGGCCCTTGCCCAGGTGGAGAGACGGTGTGCTGTGGAAACAGTGATTTAGAATAACAGTCTAGTTACTTTTTCCAATGTAAAAGCCATTTTCTGTAAAGAGGACATTCTTTTTTCATATTTCCCTACTGCAGTTTCATTAATGGATGAACTGCTGAATGCAAATTCAATAAATAAGCAACTGCCTGTGAAAAATGCTGCTCTGGCATTTGCAAGAAAATGGCACATTTTCAAGGTCTGTTGCTTTTGAAGGATCTGACCCTAATTTCATGAAAACCTTTGGGGGGAAAGTACTGAGCTCACAACCATGAGCCAGTTGTGGGAGCAGCAGGGAGGGAGGGCAAGCAGGGTGGAGAGGAAAGCATATGTCTATCCTATATCTGGTAGAAGTTCTAAGCCTGAGGTGGTATGTCAGAGGTAGAACACCCGTTTATGCAGAAGGCCCCAGTTCCATCCCTGGTGTCTCCAGTTCTAAAGGATCAGGTAGCAGGTGATCCAAAAGACTTCTTCCTGAGACCTCGGAGAGCTCCTGCCAGATGGAGACGGCAATACTGGACCAGGTGTACAAATAGTATCACTTGGCAGAAGGCAGCATCCTCTGTGTGCAAATATGATGGCCCATTACTGCATTCAAGCAGATTGGATTCTGTGAAAAGAGCTGTGGTGTTTCTCCATATGTGTTAACAATATGTGCAGCTGGGAAAAAGCTGGGTACCTCTTTGGATTGTTCTCTATCCCTAGTAATGGAAGGGGATTAAAAATAGGCTCTGGCCTGGTTCACTTTTAAGTTGGTTGTAGTACACAGGAGCATAGGGAATTACCTTATACTGAGTCAGACCATGGGTCCATCTAGCTCAGTATTATCTGCACTGACTGGCAGCAGCTCTCTAGGATTTCAGGCAGGGTTCTCTCCCAGCTCTACCTGGAGATGTTGGGGATTGAACCAAGAACCTTCTGTGTGCAATGCGGATGCTCTACCACTGAGCTACAGCCCTTCCCCTAGTAACTAGGAGCCAGCTGGCAAGATTAAGCATCCTTGCCCTCACCACACTCCTCTTGCACCAGACATCCCCCTGCCTACTCTATGCATTTTGTACCACCACCACCTTTATTTTTGAATATATCTACAGTTCTTTTATTCGGGTTAGAAGTCAACTCAATACTCTCTTAAAATAACCAAAGATGCAGATTCTCGACGTGAGTTTAGGAACAGAATCTAGTTGACAGTGATACGCATTATGCCCAGCCTAGATAAGTTGGACAGGGGAAAGTTGCGCATGAGAGGAGGTTGGAAGGGGGAAATTGCACATGGCCCCACAAAATGCCTCGGCCTGTGTTTCAGCACCAACTTTGGAGCTGGCCTGTGGTAAGTGCCATCCTCATTTTGTTGTAGTAGTTGCAGAAGGAGCTAAAACAAAAACATAACAGAACACACACACACATATGCAGTTCATTGGGCACAAACCTTCCAAACTGAAAAGCCACTGAGTTTAATGAGAGAGTTAGTTAAGCACCTACTTATTTGCTACTGAAATCAACGGGACTTGTTTGTACTTCAAAATGTACTTACTTGGAGGCCAAACCAGACATGAAAATGGGAGCAGAGTTGGGGGAATAATTGGGCCCAGTTTCCATTTATAGTTGAGCTTTGCTAATTTGTGCTTTCCAAAACAATATCTGAACTGAAACCAAGCCGTCTGTTGAATTTTTGCACCTCTCCAGATTTTTCAGTGCAGTTCTCCAACTAAGGAATGTATTCAAAAATGCACGTAGTTGGGTCAAGTGTGCATAAGCATGTATATATTTGTGAAAATTGCATACAAAAAATATTAGATAAGGAGAAATTGCTTTTCAAAACTGTGCATACACTGTATGTATTGGGGAAAATACACACTAAAATGCTGCTTAATTTTCAGGTGGGCATTGTTAATAAGCAATTTCAAAAACTGATATGGAAATGTGGAGAACTGAACTTAACGAGGCACATGCTGTTCTGGGGGTTCTCCTGACCCCTCCAGAGCAAATTGGGGGGGGCATGGGAGGAAACAAGGAGAGGAAAGCCCTATTGCCCAAGTGGAAGCTCCTTCACATGGGTTTCCCATGATGGAATTAATTAAGTGCATCTCACCCTAGTATCTGTACATAGTATAATGAAGTCCTGAATAAGAGGTTCTGAAACCCAAAAGTATGCCAGGTTTGAAATCGATATTGCACTGATTACATAACCTTACTAGTTAGTACATATTCCGAAAATGTGGAAAGAAAGGGAAATGTTTTTGTAATGATTTGAAAACAATGTTCTATCCATTCTGTTAATGTAAGAGTATTCGATTAGGAGCAGGAGTTGAAAGACACTGCACAAAATGCATTCATGAAATGATTCAATTAAAAAATGATAACATTTCCTGATCCACAGATGCTAAAATATAGCCAGCTTATGTTTAGAATTTTCTGTCATGAGCATTTTTAGGTCAAAGGATTCTCCTACCGAACTGCTGCTTTCTCCGGAACGGGAGTTCAAAACAGCAAGCTGCATCTAAAGCCACTGGGGAACATGCCAATGTTTTTAAAATTCATTTTTTTTTATTTATCATCTAATTAAAAGAAAGAACCACACTGTGAAAAAAATCACATTTCTGCTAATAACATCACTTGTGTATTAGAGTACAATGCTCCCTTTTACACATCATTGTAGTACTGGCCATTTTCAGCCTGGACTGACAAATGCACAAACCCTAATGCAGCTGCTTCCCACTCCTTATTGAGGAAGTGTTGTACTTGGGACAATAAAGCAATAGGCAAACTCTGCCTATTACCTCTGGCACTGGGTCACCCCGCATCCATTGGCAGGGATGCTAGGGTGTGCAAGATGATCTCTGTGAGATGCTGTGTAGCTCCAACAGATCCACTAAAATATTGTTACAGTGATGCACATTTCATCAGTTACAGAATACAGTCATACCTTGGAAGTCGAACAGAATCCGTTCCGGAAGTCCGTTCAACTTCCAAAATGTTTGGAAACCAAAGCACATCTTCTGATTGGCTGAGGCAGCCTTAGTGGCCCCTGATTCCTTGCAAGGTGCTTGATTTTCACTGGGTCTTTAACCCTTTCCCAACTAGTTGTGCTTTGACTGATCCCCTCATTTCAGCTGCTCTTTTAGCCATGCTAGTGTTTTTGACTATTCTTTACATCACAAACAGGAGTATGGAACCATGCATGGGATAAAAGCTGCTGTGGAGGAGTTTCAAGGGGAAATGGCTGCCTGTGAAAGGGTTAAACACTCCCTTCCCCTCTGATCTTTCTCTGTTCCAAATCACCTCTTCCCAAAGGCACTTTGCAGCAGAGGAGGAACATGTTCAAAGTGTAAGATGCTGTGAGTGCTGACTTAGAAACAAGTTGCTAAGACTGTATATGTGCCACTAAATACTGAAGCTGCTTAAGAGGAGAGAATGTAGACTTGCCATTATGATTAGATGTCTACCTGCAAGATGTAGTTTTCTCCATCTGGGATAAATTCGACACTGTAAGACAAAATTCCTGTTAGTGTTCCATTCTTTCTGTAATGACTATAAAGACAAGAGAGGGAGAGAGAATAATCTCTCGCATGGTGGGAGACAGTTATTACAACACTGTGACACACTCCTGCCTAATGCAGTTTCTCACCTGTGAAATGACAAGCTCTAATGCTCTGACAGACCTAGCATTTTGGAGAAATGAGAGAGGTCAGCATTATGGAGATATGGTGGGCAAATTTTCTAAACTGCAAGTAGCATTTAGTAGGTAGGGTGAAGAAAACTAATCCTTACACGTACTAATAGCAAACTCAAGCGCTATGTAGCTGATAAGTGGCTAGGAGGTAAGATACTGGCATCCTCTGAGAAACCCCAAGAGTTGCAGAAGTGGGGAAATATATATATATGGGAGGAAACCCTTAAATGGACTACTCCCCTCCCCCAATAATTCAGAAAGAACCCTGAGCATGCTCAGTGGCAACAAAATGTAGAATATCTGGAACCGGGAAACTAGATGGAGTGGAGAATGGAATAGTGTATTTGGAAAGATGACATGACTGGCTAGAACACTGAACAGGAATGTCCTGCACAGCAACATTTTGTTGCACATCTCAAAAAATGTTGCTGAATGTTCATGAGTATTTAGTAGCACTACATCTGTTCACTGTCACAGGCAGTTGAACATAGAGCGGAGAATGAATTGTGTTTGTTTTTAGCCTTCCTCCATGTTACTTCAATCTTTGGAAGTGACTCTCAGGCTGCACTCCTATGAGCATTTACCTGGGAGTAAGTCCAATTGAACTCTCTGGGGCTTATTTCTGAGTAGGTATGCACAGACATTGCAACGCTTGGGGTTTCATGAGCAATAAGCCTTTCTGCTTTCTAAGTAAGGCAACCATTAAGGAAAATAAAATATCCTGGCTACTATGTCTATGCAAACAAATCCTACCTGCACCTCTCTCTCTCCCAATAAATAAGGGGTGTTTTGGGCATCCTATTTGCAAACAAGACACGATTTTTTTAAAAAAATAATTTTTATTACATTTTCCATTTCCTCCCCCCAAATTACATTATAACATATATCATAATTCACCAATACCAAATTGTCGTCCCCCCCCCCGACTTTCCTCAACCTCCTTTTCTAGTTTGTTTCCACACATTATTAAATCCTGCTTATTTACTTTCCATTTTTTTTTATATTTAATCTTATAATTTATATACATTTTGTTATTTGTAAAGTTTACTCAAAACCTGCTAATGAGTCCAATTTTTTGCATTGTTTCTGTAGATAAGCCGAAAATGGTTCCCAATCTTCTTTAAAGGATTTTTTGTCCTTATTTCGTAGTCTTGTCAGTTAGTTTTGCCATTTCGGCATATTCTGTAAGTTTTTCTTGCCATTCATCTTTCATTGGTATTTTATCGCTTTTCCATCTTTTCCATCTTAACATCCTTGCCGCCGTTGTAGCATACATAAATAGTCCATGTTTTCCCTTTGGCAAATCTTGCCCTAAAATTCCTAACAAAAAACCTTCTGGGGTTTTAAAAAAGGCTATCTTAAACATTTTTTCATTTCATTATATATCATTTCCCAATAATTCTTAACTATTTTACAATTCCACCATAGATGATAGAAGGTACCTTCCCCAAACAAGACATGATTGCTTGTGGTGATGGCCATGGACTTGGATGGCTTTAAAAGAGGGTGGCTATGTTCTACTTCCACTGTCAGACACAGTTGCCTTAGGAGGCAAGAATTCTGTTGCACACAGATTCTGCTTTTGGACTCTCCATAGGCGTTGGTCACTGTGAGGCTAGGATGCAACACTAGGTGGGCTTTGTAATGTTCCTATGTATTCTGACCATAGTAATCAAGGTGTGGACTCCTTGCCTTGGTCAGAACCTGTTGCTTGCCCCTATTGCTACTTTGACCATGTGTGTCCTTCAAAATTAACATTCAACGTTCTTAATCAACATTGATACCCAATTTTATAGGAGAGTTACAGTGAATATGACACATTGTACTACGTAACTAAGTGTTTAATCTCCCTAGCAAGAGGATCTGGGTGAGCAGTGTAAACAGCTCCCTCATTTTATTTGATCAGGTTCACAGAATTAGAAAGCGATTTTCCATTTTTGGGAATTAAATATCTCTCATTTTATTTAGAATGTGGAATTTGAAAGGATCTCTATATTTTCTGAGTCCCTTATTGGTGGGAGTGGGAAGGTGAGGTGGGTTTGGGAAACAGTATTTTTTCTCCTAGTGCCAGGGTTAGTTAGCATCAACTGGTGATGCATGTCTACATGGTTCACAGGTGCCTGTTAAAATCCTGTGAACTTCCATTTGCCAGCTATGATCGCTGCAGAGGCAGCAGAATATTCTATAAGGCTTGGGAATCAGAAAGCAGATAATCAGAGCACCGGTTTTTTATTATGCTTTTAAAATCTAACGTTTTCTAAAGCACTCTCCTGAGGGACATAT